CATCCCTTCTTTCTTTTTCTAATGCTTTTGTCTCTCTGATTTCCTCTTTAACTTCCCTTCATTACTCACTCACTCACACACACTCCTATACACACATACACTCCTATACATACTCATACACACACACTTTATCGCTATCATACGCACAATATGTGCACATACATGCACACACTCTCAGACCCACGCACATTTCTGCTGGGAAACAGAGAGTCAAGAGTGATTATTACCAACATCACAAAGAAATGAAAAACAGATATATGTACAGCTACCACTCGGTAAGACAATAGCGAGTAAGCAATATTGCTACATTAAAAGATTATTAAGACAAAATTTGAGTAAAGAGAAGCACACTGACACAGTAAGGGTCATTTAGTGCTGGGAAAAAATAAGGAGGACAGACAGAAACAACAAAAGGTAAGAAAAGAAATAGGACCTACTACAGCTGGCTTTTCAACCACCCAAAACAATTTTCTTTTTTCTCAGAGTCAATACAAAGGAAATCAATTTTTTAAGATAAGATAAGATAAGATAAGATAAGATAGAACTTTATTATCCCAGAGGGAAATTTTCCTTGGCTGTACAGGACCATAAAAACACATGCAGGTATACATTAAAAAATTTAAATCATATATATTACTCTCATTAAAATTCAATATGAAAGGAGAAGTAAAGCTGACAAAATGTACATTTACATCAAATGCATCATTCAACCATATGCAGGAATTTAAATACTAGACCTTTGGAGTTATATACAGATACATACTCTAAGAGCAACACACATCTATGCTCATTCTGACAAAAGCCTTATGCTAGATGGTAAAAAACTTCTTTTATATCTTTCTTTCTTTGTTTTTGGAGGTACATATCTGCCGCATTACATTTTGTTATGATAAAACAAGATCATCGACTAATCAAACAATGATAAACAGTTATTGCTATTTAAAGCATTTGTGGAAATCCACTCCTTGTCCCGAGATTGTGACTATAACAAATCACTGAGATATATTTCAGCAAGCACAGAGAGATTGAAAACTGTAAATGATCACCTGGGTACAGTGCAATATAAAGAGCATGGTATCACAAAATAGAATCATAAAGTTTCAGTTCAAAGAAAATTTACATATGTACCTTTGTCCTGACAGATGCACTTTGCATCCTGTAAAAAGAATTCCCCCCCCCTTTCCCTTTATTCCCAATACCGCCCCCCCCCCCCACCCCCCAAATACATGCCCCCACCCACCCACACATACACACACACAAGCAATTTGGGTCAAATATCAATCAAAATGATATGATGGTGACAAAAGTAAAATATGGGAAACAAGGAAGCAAAATGAATAATGTAGCGATGCTTAGTGTGACAAAGAAGAATATAAGCATAGTAAAAGTTGAATTGGAAATAGATATAAAAATTAGACTTCAACAAAGTAAAAATCAAGAATGGTTAAAGAAATGAGAATAACTTTACAAAACTCAGTTCAGTGAGAGGCAAATTAAGTACAGTGGAAACCATATATAACAGGCCTGGTAATAATGGATATCCAGTAATAACAGGGACTTCTAAAAATCCATATTTTTTCCTACTCTTTGTCTCTATTAAATAAAAAAGTTATCGGCGGCAATAACAGGACCTCATCGAAACCGAATAGATTATAGCAGGGACAAAGGCTCCTTAACAATGTGTAAAAAGTAAGGAGAGAGAGAGAGAGAGAGAGAGAGAGAGAGAGAGAGAGAGAGAGAGAGAGAGAGAGAGAGAGAGAGAGAGAGAGAGAGAGAGAGAGAGAGAGAGAGAGAGAGAGAGAGAGAGAGAGAGAGAGAGAGAGAGAAACACAGTAATGGAGCAAGCCTACGCAAGCTATGTCACTGTAAGCAAGAGAAGGCTGCAGTGTGCTGCAAACTTCGACCTAGCCCTAAGCCTAGCTAAATGCATACGTAATGCCATACGGCTAAAACCCCTGTTCGTGGGTACTTTGTGGCAAGGGAAACTACCCATGAATAAAAACAGCTAGATTAGTCCACAACTGCCCTTGCATTTCTGATTTAACAGGGATCTGATATAACAGGACTTATTCTCTGGTCGCACCATCCCTGTTATATCAAGTTTCCACTGTATAGACTGAAATGTCTGGAATATCATAGTAATGGCAGCAACGTTCTCAACCAAACAACTTTCAACAACATCACTAGAAACCCATTGACCTATATGAAGTCCAAAACCTCCATGTAATTACTTGAAAAAACAAAACATCTATAGCTAAATAAGATAAAAAAACTTAAGCCATAAATCTGGGCACAGATATAGACAATTATGCTTGTAATCCTAATTAATGTCTTTCAAACAAAAAAGTAATGCGCAAATAAAATGACCTCAATAAAAACTATCTGAATCCAAAGAACCCTAAACTCTAAAATTCTTGTCCAAAAGTTTCCTTTGTTAACGACAATTCTACAGTTCCTAAAGAAGCACATACCCATGACCAAGAATGCTTGATAACCAGTGACACTGGTACTGATACTCACATTTAATTTTCTTTGTTCTCAGTGAACTGAAAACATCCTAAGAGACTTATCCACTAAGACTTTTTTAAAATGAAAACCATTTGTACCCCACAACAGTCTGTACTTTCTAAACTCATTTTTTTTTCCAAAATAAGATATTTCACAAACCTCGAAGATATTTTTAAAAATCAGATTTAATTTAGAAAATTCAAGATAATAAATTTAAAAAAAAAAGATTTCTGTTCCAAATAAATCAGACGTTGTATATGCCAAACACACACATGCTTGCTCTTGTCTGAGCTTGTTAAACACCAATACAGAGTTCATTAAAACACAGTTGCATAGATCCATATTGCTACAATAATGTCTTAATAGATAAATCCCGTTTGAACATTCCTAGGTAAAAATATTTATAACTTTCAGTTTAAAAATAACAATTTTGCCTTTCAGAAAAAAACATGTTTTATCAAGTAAAGGGAAAAACAAACAGAGCTCCAAGGGTAAGTTACAAACGTACAGAAATATATTATTTTATACTGTTCCCCCTCACATAAAGGAGTCCTGCAAGTTCACCCGAGACTTTCAAAGTCATCATGACTAATTAAAACAGAAATGTTAATAAATCGTGTAAGTGTAAGGCTTGGAGCTAACTAAGCTACTGGAAGAAAAACTAGACAAATGATTTGTAGCACTTTAAAATTTTTACTCATTCACAAAATTTCTAAGAATAGTGTGACAAATGGCACATTTTAAATAGTCACAAGTGCTGTTGATTATATACAATGACCCAAATTCTGAAGATATTTCTTTCATGTGTTGACTTAATATCCAGTATAAGTCAATATGGCAGTGTCATCACTTATAGGAGAAATGAACATTGGAACACATGTATACATCAAGAAAGATACAGAGCAACATAAACTTATTTAAAAAGACCTAAACAAGTATTAGAACAGGGTGTAAAACATGACAGTGGAAAAAACCAGAAGAAGTAAATTATAATACAATAATTCATTTTGCAAAGTCAAAGAGAATGAATTATCATCAATGCAAGCTTGCTTTAAAAAGTATAACAAGTTCTCATGAAAGTAAAAAGAAGAGTCTTGGCTCCAGCAGTATACACTCTTATCAGAAAACCACTCAAATAGATGTACACACATATCAACACTTGACACAAGTAGACTTTTTAAAAATATGCCTTGAAAATACACAAAACATTACAGTCACTTTACATATCATAGCTGCATACAGGGACAAACCGTACAATCCGCAAATTTTTAGCATGACATGGTATGGGTTTAAAATCTCTTTCAAGAAAGCAAAATTTTAATTGGCGGGACCTCTGAAGTAACCATTTATCTCAAACAGTACCAAGCCAATTTGGTAGAAAGCTTTGAAAACTCCCTAAACAATCCAAGTTCAAAAACAACTCATGAAGAAATGAGCCAGGGTCGTCTGCACCACAATCCAAAAACCAACTGAGCAGAACTGCAATAAATCATGGACATCTACAGTGTCTACCTCAGACGTTTACAGCAGGGACATATCCGAGATGTGGTGAAATACCAACAGGACTGTGTCACAATTTAAACTTTGAAAGGTAAATGTGGAATTGCCTCAGGAATTTTAAAAAAGTAGACAAAAAGACTTAGAAGAGAGTTGCTTTGTGCTTTAATATGAGAAAACTTTATCCCCATCAAGAGCTTCTATGAATTGTCTCCAACAAGTATTCAGCAAAAAAGAACTTTTTATATCAGTCATTCCCTGTCAAGACTTCATTTATCTCATTAATACCAAGCCACATAAACACTTTGCAACTCCATATAATGAAACCATTTGCAATTTTGCTCACACAGTCGGGAATTATCCCCATTGATAAAAACATCACATCAAAAGATGACCAGATACTATGATAGATGTATGCTTCACATTGTACCTGAGCACCTTACAAATATGCAGATGAACACAATAAAATCCAGCATTATGCTCAAGTCATGTATCTCTAGCTTTATGGGAGGCCAAACACTGTGTAATAAGGTTCTACTTACTGTCTGGGACTATTCACTTTCCTTTAGTAGAGATGGGGACAGTGCAGCTAATGTATACCACCTAAGAAAACAACATAACATAATAAATAAAAATAACATTATATTTGCATAACATCCTGTCTATTTTTAAAAGAACTTGCCAAACACCTAAGGTACAAGTCCTGATTTAAGACACATAGACTTTCTCCATGTCTGTGGTAAAACGTCGACAAATGGGGCATCGTCCGTCCAGTTTGGAGACACACAGAGCACAGCAGCACAGATGGTTACATGGACGCAGCAAGACCTGCATGGGTGCGTCAAGACACATCTGGCAAGTCACTAGATTTACGTCCTCGTTGCGACTGCTGTTCTGGCTTTCTCTTACATCAGGTTCTCCAGATTGCTCTGTAGAAACGAATAAAAGCGATCATGATATTGCATATTATGTCCACATGAAAAAAACCATAGCAATAAAAGGAAATTATGTAGAGACAATCAGAATGTAGAAATGGATCCACTTGGTTACAGAGTCAGAAAGCATATGTGCAGAACTGAGGGTAAAAGAAATGAATGAAGAGTGTCAAAACGTGATAGGCTTTGAGGAAACTTGTCAGCAGGTAAACATTTTCACAGCTGAAATCTTTGTTTGTTTGAAAAGTTTCATCTTTCTTGAGCATTTTGCACTTCATTTGGGAGCAATTGAGTCTTCCTGTAAAAAGTAATAGCAGCCTACAGCGGGGGCTACTCAGATTCAAACCCTCAATAGGACATTTTTTCAACTTGTGATTGAGGATTTTCATGGCTTGTGCTCAGGCCTATCAAAGATGGATAAATCGGAGGTCTCACCTTTTCAGTAAACTTACTGTTCTAAAATGGTTGTTTAAAATCCATACTATACTATTCTCAATGCAGACAACAAATAGGTTTGATAAAATTTATAAATAGAACAGCATGTCCGATAACATACCTTCTGCGTCAAAGTCACTTCTGTCCAGGGGAGCTGATTGAGGTCTTTGACGCTCCCGCATTTCTTGTAACTCTTGTCTCAGCATAGACAGTTGTAGATCTTTGGTGTGGAGAGCCTGGTCTTTCTTTTGTAATGCCTGGTCTTTCTTTTGTAATGCCTGGTCTTTCTTTTGTAATGCCTGGCGATTCTCTTCTATTACATGGTCTTTCTCTTCTAAGGCCTGTAAATGTAAATAGTGACCAAAAAAAAGACGATAGGACTGAAATGAGTAGTACAAAAAGGATGAAAAAACTTTTTACTTTTTATTAACACTTATTGTAATGTCATAAAAGAAAGGAGGATACTCCGATGCTTTGTATACACAGGGTCAAATTAGTTCCCATTTTTATAACAAGAGCAACAATGCACTCCCAAACTGCCCCAACTTACATTTCATGGATTTTTTATTTAAGGGAAGTAACCATTATAATACTGACAGACAACTGAGACTATTAGTAAGTAATAATAAAAAATACCCTGATTTTGAAACTCCGATTTTGAACAGGTTTACATTCATACTCACTTCATGAAAAAGCACAATTAGTGAAC